CAAAAATCTTAATTAAAGGCATTGATGACTCGAGTACTAGTCGAGTGCTCGAGTAAATGCGGAATGTTGGGTTGTACCATGGAATAGGGGTGTCAATTTTTGACACGACACGAAACACGACCCGAACCCGACCCGGAAAAATCCGGGTTCGGGTCAACCCAAACCCGAAACGGGTCGGGTTCGGGTTCATGAAATCAACCCGTTTTAAAAATCGGGTCGGGTTCGGGTTGACCCGCCAACCCGAAATTGACCCGAAAGTGACACGAAAACTCTTTTTTGACCCGAAAACCCGAGATTGACCCGTTTTTGACCCGATTTTGACCCGAAAACCCGAGATTGACCAAATTTTTGACCCGAAAATTAGCAATTTTGGGTCAATTCCGGGTCATTCGTGTCGGGTCGGGTTGACCCGGACCCGAATCGGGTCGGGTTCGGGTCCAGAAACCTGACCCGTTTTTAAAAACGGGTCGGGTTCGGGTTAACCCGAACAGTGCCGGGTCAGTTTCGGGTTCGACCCAAACCCGACCCGTTGACCCGAATTGACACCCCTACCATGGAAGCGCATCTATGCTTGGCCGAAGGCGAACCATGCCCTCGTGTGTGAACAACGCCCTCGTGTGTGAATAGAGGAAGTGTAAGTTGACCGGCAGACATCAGATTTGCCTCGTGAGCAACTCGCGAGTTAGTTTTCATGGCAAGGGTCAAACTCTAGCTTTTCTTTTGTGCTCGACTTGCGTTCGAGCTCGGTATTTGACTCATAAGTCGAGCTCGAATTAGGCCATGACTTAAGCTCGACTCGATTTGTTTGTACCCCTATTCAAGATTGATCATCAATCAAGAATCTTAATTAAAGGCATTGATGACTACTATGACTTTCGACAACTCTAAGTAGATCAAAAGCAACTTTGATTTCCTTAAGCTATCCAATGGAGATGGTTTGTAAAATATTATTTTCAAAGCCTTAAAATAAATAATTTTATCTTGCCAGCTTGTTAAAAGTATTAATTTAGATAGAAAGAGAGAGAGAGAGAGAGAGAGAGAGAGAGAGAGAGAGAGATGATTTATCACCTCAATGAATCATAAAGGAGGAGATGAAACACAACATTAAAGAAATCATTGTTAGACCAAAATTTTCATTTATTTGCTCAATTTGATCATCTAATTGATCAAACAAATAGAGAGAATTTATATTATATTCGAGATTTATATAAACCCCAAATGCTCTTTAATAGAAAATGTTTTGTTCCTCATGTAGATAAAAGTTGAAGATTTAGACTTCTTTTGGGACAACTTTCGTACTGCTTTTTAAAATAGTTTTTTTTAGTACAAAAAAACTCTTGAATTAGAAATTTTTATACTAAAGACATAGTTTCATGCTTCCCTTAATAATACATCAAATTTTCACATTAATGTTATGATGAATAATTGTACAAATCATATTCCATTTGAGATCCATGCAAATATGAAATTACATTTAATTGAAGATGAATAGCCCTCCAATTGATGAATGAATAATTCATCAATGCCATCATAAAAATTACATTTGATTTTCTCATGAAGGGTGTAATGAACAAGTAGATAGTTACTCAACCATTCAAGATCAATATTGATGGTGTTGAGTCAATAGCTAAATCTACACTAATGATCATATTGTTAAGAGAATTATCATCCCATTTAAATCCCAATGGTTTTAAGCATTTGAGGACGATGATTGTAATCAAATGATACAAAATTCTTTAGAGCTATCATTTACAACCATAAGGGTGAAAGAACAAATGAATGGAATCAAATTATCCTCTGAATTGTCAAATTTAGGCTTTATTTGGTACAACTTTCTTAATGCTTTTAAAAAGAAACTTTTTAGTATAAAAATTTCTAGATTTTAAATTTTTATACTATAAAGCTATTATAAAAAGTAGTAAGAAAGCGGTTCAAAATGAACTCTTAGGTTTCGTTTGGAATGGCTTTCCTATTGTTTCTTAAAGTAGCTTTTTAGTGCAAAAATTTAAATTTTTATAATAAAAAACTACTTTAAAAAAGAGTAAGAAAGCTGTCCCTAACGAAGGCTTAGTTAGGAAAACATTTGTGATAATAAAAAAAATCATAATATTTCATTTATTCCCACTACCTTCTTCGGTGACAGCTCAACTGGAAAAATTGAGAGTCCACTAAAACAATGAGTTTGGGCCTGGGCCCAGGCCCAAACTAAAAAACTGCCCAAGCAATCCAAGCTCGTCCAGCCCAGTTAATAATCACGAATAGAAACTTTTCAAAGCTCAAACCCACTTTGGGCTCCACCGGAATAGGCACAGAAGATTATCTTTGGCAAATTTTATGAATTTTATATGGTATTTAAATATATTTAGCAAAATTGCAAAGTATAATTATTTCATTTAAAATTGAAAGTTAAATTTAATGATATTATAATTTGAAAATTCAAATATTTTCTTTAAGAGCTAACGACACATACCTTATGTCATTAACTTTAATTTTGATTTTAGATTTAACGACGCATACTTTATGACACGCTCAAAACTCAATTTAATTCGCCCAACAGAAATATGCATAAATGACAGAAGGATTTACAGGTAAGACTGTAAACGAGTCGAGCTGAGCTAAGCAGGCGCTCGTTCATATTTCAACTCACTTATTATCAATTTATTCAAGTTATGTTCGAACTCAATTTGACCTTTTATGCTTGTGTTCAAACTTAATTCGTTTAAAATAATAGATATTTATATTTGATTTGTATTTGGTTCACGTTCGATTCATTTCATGCTTACCAGCCAAATGAGCCCATACAAGTGCAAATGAGCTAAAAAAATAATTTTTTTATCAACAAACTTGTTCATAAATACTTTAGCGTCCAGTCCATCACAAATAGTCACAATGTTGAAATGATCGTCAAATCCTTCATTTAATAATGTTTTGAAGCCCCTTATAAAAAGTATTGTGAATTTATGACATGTTTCATCAATGGAGAAAAGAAAATAACAATATGACTAACTAAAGATGAGATCAATTCTTTTATAAAGTTTTCATAATTTAATTTTATGTGAAATTTATTCCAAAATTATTATCTTTTTGTAAATAATCATCAAATATTTAAACATATAGATTTTATATTTTCATTTTAAGCTCAATTTCTCTTTTTTGTTCTACTTCATTTTGCCATTCTTTCAAAAACATTGTCCTCATAAATAAAAATATTTTTATTCTCTTTGAGAGATGATTTGAACATAATTATTATGTTTTATCATGATTAGAAGGGTAAAACTTGACTTTGTGATGATGTACTTAACTTTAGTGTGGGGTTAATAGATGAAAATGGCGAAGAGGGTTCAAGAAATACTTTTATTGTATGTGGGAGGAGGGTATTTTTAGAAGAATATTTTCATATGAAAGTTTAATTGAAGTTTTAAGAGGTTTGGTGTGGGTTTCATTATGTAGAAGAGGATACTATATATGGTATAGTTATTACATCATTTCTTATAATATTATTGCATCCTGGAACATTCACAACGATAGAGAGGTAAAGAATTTGACATTTTATCTTTGCACGAAGATCCAACACACATACAGATAAAGAGAAAGGAGTGCAAGAGTCATGAGACACCATAAATTTTACGTGAAAATTTCTAAAAATGGAAAAAAAACCATGGGGTCTAGCCTAATTAAAATGAATTTATTTGTGTTTGTTATTGATTATAAATGATGTCCTTTCTCAGGGGAAGGTGTTGTCGCAATATAGAAAATATAGAGCACATTACATAGTTATGGTTGGAAAAATCTAATGATATGAGAGTTATATATTCTCAAGAAAATGTTAGCATGTTTGTTTGGTTGGAAGGATGGTAGTCGGGCTATGGAGGTCAGAGGGACCGTAGTCAGACAACTGAGGTCAGAGGGAGTATAATCAAGTGATGATGGTCGGAGGGACTGTAGGTTGGATCTTCATATGGATCTTCATATAAAACTAAGACGATAAATTTTATCTCTCTACTGCCACGAATATTCCAGGACATGACAAATATATTACTAAGGTCATCAAAGTTTTTATCAATGTTTAAGATGGGTGGCACACACACACACACACACATATAGTGTATGTGTGTGCGCGTTTAGATATAAAGTGGGTCTTACCAATCTATTTTGAAGAGATTCCTCCTTGAAAAAGTCCCTATATCACTTAATAGATCTTTACAATAAGTGGCTTCAAAAGAATCATTGCGCTAAAGAATCAATTTCTATCTAAATATGATTAAATTTTTACAGTGGCCTCATTTCAACATATGCTTTCATGCCCCTTGAACTTAGACTTTCTTGGAGTCCATGTCTTTGATACCAATATGATAGTGGGGTCAACAAAAATCTCGAGAGGAAGGCACTTTAGATGGATATATGCAAATGGAGATAATTATGACTAATTGTAACCACACTCTTTAAATGTTATAAACAAGATATATATTACTATTCATTCAACAATATAATTCCAAATGATTATATATGACCTTTATTTATGGAGATTCCTCAATCCAATATAAGGTGGTAAGCAAAATCCTTAACAATGATTTGGAAGCTCTAAAAAAACTCTCATGGATTGATGATTTACTTAGATAATTTAATAAATTCTTGAACATAGCAAATTTTTTAAGTGAAGATGAAGGTCAAAGTTGCACATAGAACAAGGCAATTTTTATTTTAACATTTGAAGAAATGATGAAATCATCGTTAAGAGATCATTAAGCTTTATCATGAGTGAACAAATTAATGAAAAACATCTAAAAATTCACTCCAAATTATAATCCTTTAACATTAATGTCTACTGATCTTATTCAATTTGAAATGAGGATAAGCCACTTGAATTTCATAGCAACCATTTTACCAACAATCAAACCAAAAACAAAAATATCAAAACTTCCTCAGTTAAAAGTTTTTCAAAACAAGAACCAAACTGTTCACAAAACTTGCTATTCTAACTTAAAATAGAGATGAAATCATTGTCAATGGCAGGACAACACATTCTTGTATTGATTATTCATATCTCAATTACTAAAATTGTCTTCTACTCTCTGTGCACATAGTTGACAAACTCTACAACACTAACAAAGATCTACAATGCAAGATCTATTTCTATACTAATACAGCACTTGGGTTCCCTCCATCTGACAAGTGGATTATTTAGCTACAACAAGGGGAGATTGCCTCCACTATGATTTGAAGGTCCTCAGTTCAAATTATGAAAATAACCTCTGTAACATAGGGAGATAAAGCTATACATCAATCCTTCCCAAAAACCCACATTAACTGGAAGTCTCACGCAATAGGAATGCCTCCGGCAAAATATTCATTTCATCACATTGAAAATGACACACGAGATTTCCATTCTTGTATCGCTACGCGCAAAGAATGGTTGGGGATTACCTCTGGGTGTGGAAGCTCGAGTCTTGTTACAGGTGAGACTTTATGTCTGTCAAGCCATGCTTTGATTGCTCTGAGCTCATATGTATATCCATCAGCAGCAATGTAAGGGTCATCCATTACCTCCTGAATGATCCAAAAATAGAATGAAAATGAATCCTTTACACATTTGCAGTTAGCAAGTTTGAAATGAGGTTGTTACCTGTAGAATTGGACATAGATAATGACCAGGAGCACAGACATTGTATTGTTTCAACTTCAAACATACATTTGCCATGTTCAACAACTCTTCAAGTTCTGGCAATACTTCAGACTCCAGATCTGGCCTGTCTCTGCATCTTAGCCTTGAACATTTTAATGCAATCTTTGCTAGTTTCTCAGCCTCTATAAGAGGCCAATCAGATACAGATTTGTCAAGTATATCGGCGAAGGTACGATCTTCGATTGCATTCTCTACTTGTATTATAAGGCCCCTTACCTGCAAGCCAGTAAGCAATTGAAGAGTAATGAGTCCTAATGCGTATAGATCGGATTTGGGTCGAATGGTGCCGGTCCTTTGGTATTCAGGATCCATGTAATACCATGTACCAGCAAGAATAGTTTCCTTATATTCAGTTATACTATCAGGAACAATATCAGATATGAGTTTTGCCAGTCCCACATCTCCAACCTTGCTCACAAAGTTCTTATCTAATAAGATGTTCCCTGGTTTCAAGTCGCGATGAACGATAGGATCAGGTTTATTTCCATGTAGAAATGCAAGTGCACATGCCACTTCAAATATGATTCGGAAGCGAATAAACCATGGAAGTGGAGGGGAATTCTCCCTGTTAAATAACTGATCCTCTAAGCTTCCATTCTCCATGTATTCATAAACAAGACACCCACTCTCAGGGCAGACACCTAGTAATGCAACCATGTGAGGATGATGTAGTTGACTCAGAACTTCAACCTGCAAAAAGTTTATCATTAAGGATCTCACTCATTCCACTTTGATGATAACATTTTAAAAAGAAAAAACCAAGAAGTAAAAGGTTAGAGATTAGAACAAAACCTCTCTAAGAAATTCTTCCTTCTTATCAGATGCATCTTGCCAAACTACCTTGACAGCTACCGGTATGTGATCAATGTTGCACATATAAACGCATCCATAAGCACCCTCTCCTATCTTCCTAGAATCAGAGAAGTTATCTGTTGCAGCTTCTATTTCATGCCTAGAATATCTTCTAAATCTTTTATTGCTAGAGAAAAGGTCATCAAGTGCATTTGATTTTACGAAGGTAAATTTCCTCGCAAGTTTTTCTGCTTTATGTCCAACCAGTTGCCTTGTTTCTTCAACTTCTTTAATGGCTTCTAAGTGCTTAGCCCCTTCCGCAACATTCACTTTCTTTTGTTTTGTAGAGCATTCATCAGTCAGTAGTTCAAGCTGCAATATATTCTATAATCAGTCAAGCTTGCACAAAAGCAGATTGACTGAAAATTGAGACCAAAAGTTAAAGGCTGAGTGGCAAGATATGGGGGAATTCATTTAGCCCAAGGCAATGCTTCTGCATCCATGGGTGAACTAATAACTTCACCAAATTATTAGTATTTATACTTTATGAAACAAGACCTTGGTGATGGAGTGTTGGAGCCTATATGGTCCTGCATAATATTAAGTAATTTCCATAATTTATTTCTACCAATTTCTTTATTTATTAGTAACTTTTCATCATTATGATGATTACTAAAAAAATGTATTTTATAGGAGATGCAAGACATAAAAGAAAAATGAAATAAAGTGTTCAGATTATTAAGGCTCGACATCCATGAATTAAAATTTAACTCCAAAATAGTCCCATAATTATTATATATGGGTAATTTAGTCCCAAAATATCGCATTCCTCCAATTTAGTCCACATTATATAAAATTGATCCAAAATGGCCCCTAAGGAGGTAAATTGGGATCAATTTTGAACAGCAGAAAAAATAAATTTATACTATGTTTGTATCACAAATTCTACATTATGGATCATTTTAGATTAATTTTGTATAGTTGATGGACTAAAATGAATAATTGTGATACTAAAGAACTAAATTAGCCACACATGAATAGTTGAGGACTATTTTAGAATTTAATCTAATTTGTTTTTTAGTAGATCTAATAGGATTCTTAATTTTAGTTTATTTTATATACATAAATAATTAGTTATAATATTTATATATGTATATATGCATATAGATTTGCATAAAATGTTAAAAATAAACATAATATTTACATTTTGAACCTAGCTCGAGTCGGCTAAATCTGGTCTTGTCTTGACTCGAAATTTGGATCAAGTTCCATTTAAAGCAAACAAATTTCTTGACTGAATCTGGTTAAAACCATATTATATAAACCCAATTTGAACATCAGACTGAGCCAAAAACAACTCAGTACAGGTTGTTGTTTTTGGCTCAATTCAAGTTCAAATGTTCAATCCTAGTTAAAAAACAATCTGTTCTTTAAGCAAAACTCTCATCGCTATACACTAAACAATACTCCATAGGAAGATGCTAAGACTGAACGCCCAAAGGGAAATGCCATACTCCTACCTTCTTCTTTGCACGAAGTAGATCTTTACAGGTCTTCTTATATAACGCAAGAGTCTTCTGCACATCAAGCTTCACCCTAATAGCTTCAGATGGAGCCCCACCCTGCAAAGACAAGCATTCCAGCATATAATAGAGAATACTAAGCATATAGAAATCTGAAAATTTTGTTGGAAGGAATATTATAGAAACTTACATTCACATTATCTGCAGAGGGAAGGTTCAGGAATAGGATGTCTGTTACAGAAGCATCTAATTTCTCAAACTTGTTTACTATTGTATTCCTTCCATCCACTTTGCTTTCCTCTCCGATTCCCACAGAAGACAATGATAGAGTCCTTTCAAAATTTCCACTGATATCAGAATTAGTATCCACATCTGATGGTGCTATCAGCAAATCATGGATTTCTGAACTCTTTGAAGATGACTGTTTTTTAGATATACAGTTCCATTCAGTTGGACAAAATGATTTTCTACTGATTCTTTTAGGTTGTATGCTGATACTGCTTCCTGGATGAATCATTTTGAAATTAAGGAATATGGCAAAGTAAGAAAGTTAACTAAATTCAGTGAAATAAATAAAAAATATATATAAACTTACCATCACTTAATAAATGATTACCAAATTTCAAAGTAACCTTGCAGCGTGAAACAACAAAAATGTTGAACGAGCTAGGAGCTGATTTTAGAGCTCTTGCTGGAACATCTGGACCCTTCAACATCCTAAGCATATGGCATTTGAAAATAAGTTATCAGGAGAAAATGGTGCCAAATTAGTTAGCTTATATTTCAGGACCCGTTAATTTTATCATATGATACAAAAGATGAATGATTGGAATTATAATAAATAGTATTAAAGCTTAATAGAATTAAATTTCAACAATATGGACAACATAAAATCAGTTGATGAGAACAGTTAACTAAAAAACGTGCATAGCTATCAAAGAAAAAAAAAATTAAAAAAAAAAATTATATTTATGTACATATATAACTAGGAGGATAAGCTGGTTTCAGACATAGGCTTTATGCAAGAGTGGAATTAATAATAATGCTTAAAAATACAGATTTAGGTAATCATAGACTATCCTTAACAGCTCTCATTCCTAAATCCAGCAGAATTCCTAAATCCAGCAGAATTGGAAAAGAAACTCATTCATTAGATGCAAACAAACATTCTAAAGTGAGAAATTGTTTCTTCTTAGGATTGATACTTATAATATTACTACAACAACAACATCAAACATTTATCCCACTACGTAGGATTGGCTGCATGAATCATTTTTTCTCCATTATGTCATATCAAGAGTCAAATTCTTATTTAAATCTAATAAAAAATATCATTTCTATTATTTTATAAACAAGTCTTTTTAGGTCTTATTAGTCTGTGTGGAATATTTTTGTGTCGATCAATAATATTGTACTATTCTCTCAAACATCAAGTCAATTTCTCGTGCTTGCTAGGGGGTCCTCCCCCTACTTAGGTTCGGGTGCTTTGCACTCGATTTTTTTTTCATACAAATGCCCCGTCGTTGTGTACCTGAAGATCTCGATGCTGTGTAACCGAGAGCCCTGACACTGTGTTCTTGAGCAATACGATGCTACAAAGTTTGCTAGAAGAAACGACAGAGAGTAGAGCGCCAGAGTGTTGTATTTTCGGCTCCCCAATGGTATGTAGTGTCGTAGCGCTGTGAGTTTGAGCATTTTAGTATCGTAAGACAGATTAGGATCAGAGGTTTGAGCACCGTGGCACTCCAAACTAGCGTTGTAGCGCTTCGAAGCGGACCGAACAATTTCCTTTCTCATTTTTGTCAAGTGTGGCGTCCTTTTGTGTTATGAACTTGACTTTCTCTTTTGTTTTGTAAGAGAGAATGGTGCAAGAATGTAGAGAAGCAAGGAGAAAGTGAGAGAGAAGAGAGACTTGTGGTTATTTCTCCCAATTTTTATAGTAGATTTCTTGGTGTGGTGTGACTCCATGGTTCTATTCTCAATTTCAAGTTTTTCCACGTTAAATCCTAGTGTCCTTTATTTTCCATTGCATTTTTATTTTTCTTGTTTGTTTCGTTGCAATGTTTTACTTCCATCTCCAACAGATCCACCTCTACCTCCCTGAACATAGGTCAAATCTAATATATCTACTCTTCTAGCCAGGTCATCAGAAGGTCGATGTTTGATGTGTCCAAACCATCTAAGATTACTCTCTCTAATTTTATCAACCACTGGAGCAACTACAACCTTGTCATGAATATACTCATTTCATGAGAGTAAAGCCACTCATCCACCTGAGCATCCTCATCTCTCCAACACTTAACTCAATTTTATGCTTCTCTTTTAATGGCCAACATTCTACGTCATAATTGATACTTAGAACATTAAGATATTAATTTTTACTTAAAACAACAAATCTAGAACAAAATAGAAAGCCAAAACATGAGCCTTCTCTGATCATGCCAGCCACATAATGGGCTAAGTCTGCCAATTTCCCGTGAAAAATAAGAAGTAAAATTTGATGGCCCAAAAATAGTTTGGATAAGGATAATAATGATGATAATGAGATTATAGGAAAAAATGAAGAGAACATAATTGTTAATATATACGGAAATCCATTGATTGGTAAACATTTTTCAACTAGAAGCAAGTTAGCACAATCAATCAAAAAGAAGCAAGGCATCATCAGTTAACTTTTTGAATGGATGGATTCTTTAGATACAAAAAAAAACATAATAACAAACAAAAGAAGTGATAAGAATTTAAAGAAGCGTTCAAATATATTTTCAACTTGAACAAAGTTAATACAGGCCTCCAACCCATCATGAAGACTTTATAAGATTCTGACTCTAAAGAATGAGGTAATAAATAAAAAATCAAAAGCCCATAAAAAGTTTCTTTTTATGCTCTTTACAACCAGAAGTCAAAGTTAATCACAACCCACAAAAATGGTATTAGCATCTGCTGGATGAAATCCATTGCTAATAAGCGTAATAAGCACAAGATAGAGTTCTGTGAGTTCTCCATTATATACAGAACCTACAAAATTTCACATTCTAATACAGTATTTCTTCACGTTTTGGAATTATGGAATTCATTCTCAAGAGAAAACATAACTCAATGACTGATAAAGCCATTTTTTCGCAAGAAAAAAAGTTCAGAATTGTATAGAACACATACCTTCTGATCCATCCCATCGAAGAGGATCCCAAGACCAAGTTTTTAATACCGGAATCACGCATATAGTTCAAGATAACATCTTCTGTGCTCGTCCCATACATCAACAAAGTCTCAACCTTCATGCCATCATAAATCAGAACAATCAAGCGGAGCTCAAACAAAAAAAATGGCAAAATACAAAAAGTAATAACCAAAGCTCACATTTTTCGTACGACAAAGCTTCCGAAAGGGCAAAAAAACCTCTTCTGCCTTCGCCTTCACATCCTCCACGAACAAATCCACCACTCCCTTCTCCATTCCCTCAACTGGGATTCTCCGCCCCGCTGACAAAAAGGCAAGAAACAGAATTAGCCCTCCAAATCGAAAAGATGCACGAAGAGAAAGCGATAGAGAAGAAAGGAGAGCTTACAAGGAGATGGAATGAAGGAAACCGTGGGGATAACGTGGAGAAGGAGGACACGGTAGGCGTGGGGGATTAGGTTTCTAGCGGCCCATCGAACGGCGCGGCGGCTCCGCCCGCCATCGCAGACTGCAACGGCTACGGTAGCCTCCGGAAGCTCGCCGGAGAGGATCATAGCATCAATTTGGCGGCAGCAGAGTCCAACAGGAGACGAAGACCGGTGACTTCACCTGTTAAATCAGCGCAAGGCGAGAGTAGACGCTAAGCCGTGTTCATGTATTTATAAAAAATGTTTTCTTTTTCTTGATTTAATTTTTTCTTTTTAAATCAGTAAGATTGGAGTGTACGGGTCACACTGGAGTAACCGAAGAATCCGGGCAAATTTTTGGAAGTATCATGTTTGAAGATGCATTTAGGAGAATGATCAAATTATTAAATAAATTTAACAAAGGATCAAAAATGTTAAACGGGAGAATATTTTCAAAAAAATGTGAAGCAAATTTGGGTTTTAGATAAAAAGGCAAAAGCACTTTACATTTTCTTCATAAAATGAGAACTTAGATTAAATTTTCTTCGTGATACAATTTTTTTTAATTCAATCAATACGCATATTCTCAATATACTTTACTATTAAAAACGATTTCAGACATTAAAATGCTAAATTCTAAGGCCAAGGCCAAGTGTTCGTATGCTTATCAAGCAGATTAATTAATTTAAGCAGTAGCAATCACAAGAGAAGTACTATAGAGAGTTCTAGTAAAAAAAGGGGTTAATAATACTTATATTTAAGTCATTAAAGATATGTATGCAGGAGTTGTTACTTGTGTTCAGACACAAGGTGGTTTGACCAAGTATTTTCCTATTTCAGTTGGATTACATCAAGGATCAGTCTTAAGCCCATATATTTTTGCTTTAGTCATGGATGTTCTCACTAGACATTTGCAAGAGGTTGTACCCGGGTGTATGTTTTTTCGTTGATGATATATTGATATTCTTCTTATTGATAAGACTAGAGAGGGAGTTGAAGGTAAACTTGAATTATGGAAGTCAACCAGAGTCTAAAGGCTTTGGTAGATCTAAAACTGAATATATGGAATGTAATTTTAGTAATAATAGTTCTAGTGGGGGATTGTGAATTTGGGTGATCAAGTCATTAATAAGTGTGCATGTTTTAGATATATTTGGTCTATTGTTCAAAGTGATTGTGAAATATATGGGGATATTATTAGTAGAACTCATGTTGGATGGTTGAATCGGAGGAATGCATCATGTTTGTTGTGTGATAAAAATGTCCCCCTCAAACTTACGGGAAAATTCTATAAGATGGTGGTTAGACATGCAATGATTTATGGTGCAGAATGTTGGTCATTAAAAGAGAAGCATATTATTAAGTGTTGTACAGATGAGGATGCTCAGGTAGATGAGTGGCTTTACTCTTTTAGAGATAGGATACGAAATGAGCATATACGTGAAAATGTTGGAGTAGCTCTAGTGGAAGATAAGATTAGATAGAGTCGCCTTAGATAATTTTATCACTTAAAACGATGGCCTTCCGATGAGCCGATTAATAAAGTAGATGTATTAGATTTGACTTATATTAAGAAAGACAGAGATAGGCCTAAAAAGACTTTGTTAGAAAATATTAGAACTGACCTTTCTTTATTAGATTTAAATGAGAAAATTTAACTTTTAACATGACACAATGGAAATAAAAGATTCATTTAGCTGACCCCACATAGTAGGATAAAAGTTTTATATATGTTGTTGTTGTTATAGTAGTAGTAGCAATCACAACTTTTTGACAAAAAGCGTACATGCATGCCCCTTAGCTATGTCTTTATTACTACAACAGCTTAGTAAATTAATTTGTTTTCATAATTAAAATTCAATCACCCTACGTCATGTTATTATGGTTGGTTTGAGCATATTTCAAATTAGTTCAAAGTTTTATTTCAAGCATATATAGGGTTGTAACCTATTGTTGAAATTCTTGTTTGAACCTATCATTTGAACGCTTTTTCTTTTGGTTACAGTTAAGATGTAGTAGCATGGAATGTCATTGTGGGACGAGATAATTAATTAATATGGCATAACTTAAATTAAAAAAAAAATTAAAACATACCTTATTTGTTAATATTGAAAGCGAGGACATCAAAAGATTGTAGAAGGTTTCAAGCTAAAATGTTTTCGAATGCGAGGGGAGGCAACTATATGATCACTGAAGCAAACGAACCGTCGGAGAAGATGCTTAAAGTGAGGAGAAATTATTATGTGCGGAGTCCGGATGGTCCAATCGGAATAGGCAAGGTCGCCTATACATTACGTGCAATTTGTACACATACTGTGTACAAATTGTACACAGTTTGTGTACTGATTGATGTGATATATTCTCATTGGAGTTTGAACGCAAGCCGTGTCAGGACTCTGCACGTAATAATTTCTTATATTGATATTCTTCTTATTGATAAGACTAGAGAGGGAGTTGAAGGTAAACTTGAATTATGGAAGTCAACCAGAGTCTAAAGGCTTTCGTAGATCTAAAACTGAATATATTGAATGTAATTTTAGTAATAATAGTTCTAGTGGGGGATTGTGAATTTGGGTGATCAAGTCATTAATAAGAGTGCATGCTTTAGATATATTGGGTCTATTGTTCAAAGTGATTGTGAAATATATGGGGATATTATTAGTAGAACTCATGTTGGATGGTTGAATCGGAGGAATGCATCATGTTTGTTGTGTGATAAAAATGTCCCCCTCAAACTTACGGGAAAATTCTATAAGATGGTGGTTAGACATGCAATGTTTTATGGTGCAGAATGTTGGTCATTAAAAGAGAAGCATATTATTAAGTGTTGTAGAGATGAGAATGCTCAGGTAGATGAGTGGCTTTAGTCTTAGAGATATGATACGAAATGAGCATATACGTGAAAATGTTGGAGTAGCTCTAGTAGAAGATAAGATTAGAGAGAGTCGCCTTAGATGGTTTTATCACTTAAAACGATGGTCTTCCGATGACCCGATTAAGAAAGTAGATGTATTAGATTTGACTTATATTAAGAAAGACAGAGGTAGGCCTAAAAAGACTTTTTTAGAAAATATTAGAACTGGCCTTTCTTTATTAGATTTAAATGAGAAAATTTAACTTTTAACATGGCACAATAGAGAGAAAAGATTCATGTAGCTGACCCCACATAGTAGGATAAAAGTTTTATATATGTTGTTGTTGTTATAGTAGTAGTAGCAATCAAAACTTTTTGACAAAAAGAGTACACGCATGCCCCTAAGCTGTCTTTATTACTACAACAGCTTAGTAAATTAATTTGTTTTCATAATTAAAATTCAATCACCCTACGTCATGTTACTATGGTTGGTTTGAGCATATTTTAAATTAGTTCAAAGTTTTATTTCAAACATAGGGTTGTAACCTATTGTTGAACTTCTTGTTTGAACCTATCATTTGAACGCTTCTTCTTTTGGTTACAGTTAAGATGTAGTAGCATGGAATGTCATTGTTGGACTAGATTATTAATTAATATGACATAACTTAAATAAAAAAAAATTAAAACACACCTTATTTGTTAATATTGGAAGCAAGGACATCAAAAGATTGTAGAAGGTTTCAAGCTAAAATATTTTCGAATACGAGGGGGGACAACTATATGATCACTGAAGCAAACGGACCATCAGAGAAATTGCTTAAAGTGAGGAGAAATTATTATGTGCGGAGTCCGGATGGTCCAATTGGAATAGGCAAGGTCGCTTATACATTACGTACAATTTGTACACATACTGTGTACAAATTGTACACAGTTTGTGTACTGATTGACGTGATATATTCTCATTGGAGTTTGAACGCAAGCTGTACCAAGACGCTGCACGTAATAATTTCTCTAAAGTGTGAGGTTCAAGTTGAATATGTTCTAAAATTGTGCAAATATGAGAAATTTTCCCTTTTGTTTCAATATAAGGGCTTATTTGTCTAAAAATTAATTTGGGGGATATTTGGCATAGCAAAATTATAGGGAGCATATTAGCTCAAAGTCATCAATAATGAAGAAGAAAAAAATTTCTGAAAAAAACTCGGTACAACTTTTGTCTAACTCGGTATTTGCTCTGTAAAGCCCGATATAACTCGGTATTGGGTCTTCAAATGATGGTATTCTTCGTTATTGTTTGACATTGCTCGGTATTTACTCGGTACATCTCGGTATTTGGCGGGAATTTGCCTCCGACCGGATGTTCCTCTACGTCCGGTCGGAGGACGTAATAATTGTGTTCCTTCATCAATAGATCAAACTTTCAAACGAAACCTGCTTTCTGAAACGAAAGAAAGAGACAAAGAGTTGCATGTCAAGCACAATATATCTGCAGGTCTGACATAACCTTTCATGCAAATAATAAAGAACAAAAAAAAAAACCTTTAAAAGCATTCGTAATGTATATTTCATACTAAGCCACTGTCAGCATCTTGAATATTTTAAAGCTCAAGACTGTTTGAACGCATGTTCTTCTTCGTAGAAGGAGATCAATACAGATGGAAGACAAATATATCTTTAAAAACTAGGATTCAAAGAGATTTTAGATTGATCCAAGGTTGGTGTTGTGTACTTTTTATCTCTGCAATATTTTAGAACATGTTAGGTGGCCGAACTGCTGTTGCAATTTGCAGCCGATGGATGCTCGCTCAAAATTATCAATAAGATAAGATTTACTAGCTCTTCCATAGGAGAAATATGGATTGTACCGAGCTGTTTCTTCTATTAGGCCGGCTTCAGTTCCATTGGTTAACTTGCTTAAGAAAATATTTTTTGGTTGGTCGGTTAATTTTGAGCTGGAGAGAATAATCAAGTTTGTCGAACTAGATATTTACCAATTGATAGTAAATAAACTATTGGGTCCTAAAACATTCATGGCCATAGAGAGAAAAATCTTAGCGTCCTAGCTTTGAACGAAAATCCATTACACATACAAATAAAGAGAGAAGGGGTGCAAGAGCTATAAGAGACATCATAATTTTTATGTGGAAAATAATGAAAAGGAGAAAAATAATTGGGCCTTACACAATCGAAATGAATCCACTAGTGTTTCTTATTAATTACAAATGATATATGCTCTTTCTCGGGAGGAAATGCTTGCTCAATGAAGCAAATATACATCATATAGAGTACTTTATATGGTTGTGGGTGGACAAACACAATGTCATGAGAGTTGTTCTCAAGAAAGTTTTATTTTGTTCATTTGATTAGTAGGATTG